TTTCTTTTTGTAAGCATGAAAATATTCTAAAATTAGGTTAGATGGTTGTCCAAATCTGTGAATATAAAACCATTGAATTATACACTTTAAATGGATGAATATTATAGTATTTGAACCTGACCTCAAAAAAGATGTTTTTTTGTTTGTTTTTTTTAAAGATTTTATTTATTTGAGAGAGAGAGTGAGAGAGAGAGAGAGAGAGAGAGAGAGCACATGACGGGGGGAGGGTCAGAGGGAGAAGCAGACTCCCTGCTGAGCAGGGAGCCCGATGTGGGACTCGATCCTGGGACTCCAGGATCATGACCTGAGCCGAAGGCAGTCGGCTAACCAACTGAGCCACCCAGGCGCCCCTCAAAAAAGATGTTTTTGAATGGCAAACTTAATCTGCTTCAACCTAGTATATTACATGAATTGGGCTCTTACAATATGTCAGGGACTATTCTGGGAATTTAATACAAATTCACTTAATCCTTAAAATAATATAGGTATTCTTATTAAACCCATTTTGCAGATGAGTGAACCAAGGCTCAGATAAATTAAATAAATTACCCACTGTCATAGCAAATAAACATTAGAGTCAGAATGTGAACCCAAAGCCCATCTGGCTCCAGAGCCTGAGAATGACCCCCACCCAGTGCTATGGCTGCCTCTGGTTGGTAGTCACTTTTGGAGGGTTTACAAGTATAGTGCTTGGGGGTCAGAGACACAAATTTGAAAGCCTTGGTGCCCACAAGAAGATCACAAGATCACAGCCTGGGAGGAGGCAGATATAATTCGAGGAAATGATTAAGATGCTCTGTGGTCAGTGCTCAACAATGAAGACAGACACACGCTCACCGTGCTTCAGGAACACCCAGGTAATGACCATCCATCCTCTGTTCCTCCCTCTGTGCATGCATGAAAGTATAACAGCACTTACTTGGGACTGGGAGGGCTACCCCGAAACCTGTTCCTTCCCTATTTATTGCCAACTCACCTCATCTAATCCGTTGTTCAAAGAGACTGCCTGGGAGTCGTCTTTGATTCAACCTCTTTGCCACATTCAATCAGTTCTACGCATTGGACTTCTGAGCCGCATTTTAAATCTGTCTAGTCCACTCATCTCCAAACCTGTCCCAGCTCATCTGGACTATTACATGGGTCCCCCGCGAGTCTCCTTACTCGTATGTTAATCTCCCCACAAAACATTCCGCACACAGCCTTGAGGAGTCCCAGGGAGTAAACTGGGAACAGGCAAAGAGCCCACCAGGTGTGAGAATGGGAATTAGTCGGGGGGGGGCGGTGGTGGTGGTACATAAGAGGTGACATGAACAGCATGAGGCTTCTGTCGACACATCTAGGGTGGGGCGTTTGTGTGTTATCCACAGACTGGTGGGGGCTGGAAGGCATGGGTTACCTAGGTGTGTAGGCTGTGTCTGGGGACAGGTCACTGACTGCATTTACACAGCGAGCGAAAAAGCCCACGGAAGAAGAGCTTCCCCCCACTGTGTGATGATCACCCCTGATGACAATCCACCCTCACCGCTGTGGACTGTAGGAGTAGGATGCGAGGGAGGAAGTGAACAGAAATATCTCGAGGTCGCTTGCCTTAAGGACCCGAAGGCCCCAGGGGACAGGGGCATCTGGATAGACAGCCACCGAGGCTGTCACTCACTGGGGAACAAAAAGGTGAAGGGATCCGAAGGGAGCTGGGGGTGGAGAGAGGAAACTGAATGTTGCAAGGCGTTTGCCTGGCCCTTGTCCCTGGTCTCCAGGAGGAAGTCTCTAAATCCAGTTTCCCAAGTGATAGGAGTGGCTTTGTTATTCCTGATGGGTCCCCGATAGTTGGGAGGAACGAGGGACTCCGTGGCCTTGAGGGTAGTTTCAGGAAGGGGCTGGCCTTGCCACCTTGGAGGCTGGGGTTTTGAGACGGAGAGAGGAACTAGATTGAGTTCAGTTATCTGGCCAGGGAGCCAATCAATCATGCTGAAGGGATGAATCCCAATAAAAAGGCAACACGGAAGCTTGAGTGACCTTCCTGGTCGGTAACACACGTCCAAGTGCGAAGAGTCTGCTGTATCCTGACTCTTCAGGGAGGGGACATGGCAGCTTTAAGTCTGGGACCTTCCCAGACCTCACCCTTTCTTCCTTTTGCCTGGTCCTGATTTCTGTCCTTTTATTGCTATTAATAAAAAGGTAGTACAGCACTTTCCTGAGTTCTGGGAGTCATTCCAGTGAATTACTGAGCCTGGGGGGGGGGAGCGGGAACCCCCGAATTTGTAGCTACTCAGCAATGGGGTTCAGGAAATGCTACTCCAAAATACGGTGCCTTGGCATGCTGAATATTTTAAGTTGAAGAAGTCTGAGAAAGTGGCAGAAACAGGAAGGTTACTTTGACCTCTTTGCCCCTCATCCTCTCAACCTGAAACGAATCACACCCTCCCTTGAGAGGTGCCCTCTCTCTACCCAAGGAAAAGAGATTCCCCTTGTGCAAAGACAGTGAGATGCCAAGAAGAATCCTAACAAACAGGCTTTGCTATGTCTCCCTCAGTGTACGATTAATTACCTCACACGCCTTACCTACCATATTCCATGCGTCCACTCCTCATCACATCCACCATAAAAATACACAAGTCTGGGGCACCTGGGTGGCTCAGTGGGTTAAGCATCCGACTCTTGATCTCAGCTCAGGTACTGATCTCAAGGTCATCAGTTCAAGCCCTGCACTGCACTCCATGCTGGCCATGGAGCCTACTTAAAACAAAACAAAACAAAACACAAGTCTGTTTTGGGGGGGTCTTCTGAAGACCCCCCCCATGCCACATAAAACTTGTATCACATAAATTTCTATGTTTATCTCCTGTTATTCTATCAGTTTAATTTTTAGACCCAGTCAAGGGCCTAAGAGGGTTTGAAAGGGGACTTCAGCCTCCCCCATGTTGACCCGTCTGCACTTCTTGATTCTTTCCAGCTTCTCTCTTAAACTCAGACAAAACGACCCTGCGGGCAAAGCATCCCGTGATGGGAACCGAGACTACCCCCTCAAGCAGTAACAACTGTCCTGACACCAGCAAGACCCCACGTGATTGCCCCCAAGACAATGATCGACCTGACCTTCACTGCCCACCTGCACGTACCCACCGACCTTTGTCCCACATTTTCCTGATATAAACCTGAAGTATTTTCGGCACTTCAGAGGCAGTCTTCGTGACGTGAGTCCGCTGTCTTCCCGGGGCTGGCCTCACTGAAATGAATTCGTTTGTTTCCCCACCGTTCCTCTCTGCCTTTGGGCTGAACCTAGTCTGTTTGGGCCCCTTGGAGCCAGATGCTGTTGTACCCCTTGAACCCCAGTTACAGGTTGAGGAAAACATTCCTTAGACGGGTCAGAAGGGTGCGGGGGGTTGTCTGGGAACCCCTGAGCTTGCAGCTTGTGTCTGCAGAGGAGTCTTGTGGCACACTGTGCCCTTAACTTGTGAAGTCTGGCCTGACCCTGGGTCATCAGTGTTGGAATTTAACATTGCACCAAATAGCACTTTCCACCCCACTGGGGAAAAGGAGGTTGCATCCCGACATGGCATGCTTTGTAAGCCCCGATATAAGGCTGTGTCTTTGTATATCCTACCAGGCCCTCTGGCTAACAGCAACCCGGAAGCCCGGAGAGCCAAGGGCAGCAGATTGAGAAAACATAAAGGTATGTTCTGCGGTGTCCCTGTCCTAGTTAGAACCACCCTGCCCTGCTCTGATCTTAGGGACCGGGGGATGGTCTCAACACTCCCCTCTGTGTTTGGTTTCTGGTGGGAACTATCCTATTCTAGTTGAAGGGTGGGGAGTGAAGCTGGTGCTCAGAAAGAGGTGGTTGGGGTACAGAGGAAACCATGTCTTCAGAGGAGGGGTTCTAGAGGGAAACGACAGATTTGGTGACCACCTGGGTTTGGGGACAGCTGTGTTTTACACATTTAGTGAGCAATACACACTTGGCACTTTCATGTAAATACAGCTGATCCACCAACAATGGATTTGAACTGCACAGGTCACTTATACATGGATTTTCTTTGATAAACAGAGCATAGAACCGTAAATGCATTCTCTCTTCCTTATTTTCTTAATAACATTTTCTTTTCTCTAGCTGAGTAAGAATACAGCATATAATACACAGAACATACAAAATACATGTTAATCAACTGTTCATGTCATTGGTAACGCTTCCGGTTGACAGGAGGCTATTAGTAGGTAATTTGGGGAGAGTCAAGAGTTATACGTGGATTTTTGACTGTGCATGGGGGTCAGTGTCCCCAATCCCCTCAACGCTGTTCAAGGCTCAACTGTATCTGGCTTTCTTGATTCTCTGAAAAAAAATGAGAAAACCTGTTCCCCCAGAGCAATGCCCAGCTGGAGCTAACGACTGCCCTCTCTGGACAGTGTGTGTGCTCCCCACCAGGGCCTCACAGCCAGGATGCCGTTACATCTGCTTTTCTCGCTTATCCAACACCCCTTTGCAGGCTCCAGTGACTACTGTAGCTGGAGAGAATCCTGCATTCTAGGGCTGCGGTCTATAAAACCCCCGACAAAACAAGTGGAGCAGAGAGGTTCTGCTAATAGATTCTGAACATCCATGAAGACAGTGGCTAACTACTTCTGAATTTCTCTAGTAGTCGAATCACCATCATGTGCTCTTTCCAACCACAGGAACCTTCCTGATAGAGCAAGGGCTTTATTGTTGGATGTAAACAGTTTCTGAGCACAGGTTCTGTGCTGGAGTTTCTCCTTTTCCAATTATGGACCCAGTCTGCCTGGTCCTGGGCTCTCTTCCCTCTGGGCAAGGAGACTCGGAGGCAGGGAGACGTCCCACAGGCTTTCCCAGAATGTGGCCAAAGTCTCAGTAAATAGAATTTAGTGTCCAGTAAAAGCCCGGAAGCAGCTGGGTTTCTTCCACTTCTCACACCTGGCTCTTCTGGAGTCTGTCCCAAGTGAGAAGTTAGCAGAGTCCATTAAACAAAGGGAAGGATTCAGGGGCCAACTTGCCCAGTGGTCTTCACTGTGCTCTCACACGTCCGGCTTCGTCGTCCCCATTTTGATCCTGACTTGGCATCTGTAAGTCCAGGCGTCTCAGGGAGCATACAAAGTAGCGAGGAGGCTTGCAGACCAAGTCGAGTTCCTCCTTCCTGGACCCCAGGGCTGGCAGGATCAGCTGGTGGGCGTGCAGGTGAAGGGGGATGTGGCGGGCCTTCGCCTGGTGCAGCCCTAGCTTCTTCAGGGTACCAAGAGACAGCTTCTGTACAAAGACAAGACAGCTTCTTGAGAGCCAGGCCAAGAGCTCGTCCTTGAGCAGTACGCTGGGTCAGAAGTCTTCCACTTAAAGAAACCACCACTAACTCCCCTGGAAGGCACAGTGGTGGACGGCCTGCTTCAGGGACATTCCCAGGAAGGGTTCGGAACCCAGGTGAGAGAAAAACCACCACACCTGAGAAGCTCTTATCAGCCAGTTCTCTGGCCTGCCTAGAGAATGGGCTGTAACATCAAGAGATAAGTGTCCACCATAGATCTTCAGCAATAGTAGGAAAGGCTGCCTTTCCTACTATAAGCCTTCAGAAAGTCTCCCCCCGCCTGCCCACAGCCTCCTAACAAAATCTGAGATGAACAAATGAAGCAGAAGGGTTTTGCTAACAAATCCTGCAGCTCCGTGAGAATAGTAGCTATTTCTCTCTAAGCTAGGTAACTAGTATATATAACTAACATAGTACCATGTCTGAAGACAATACATCCTTGTGGTGACTCACTTCGGACTTTAACAAGGGGAAAGCATAAGCTCCCCCACTCCCCACTTAGCTGTTGCACATTGGGTCAAACCAGTATCACCTGGGGGGCCAGCTTAGTCCAGTCTGAGTACTTGTGATCACCAAGGATTGGGCAATCCAGTCCAAAAGACAGATGAACTCGAAGCTGATGTTTTATTCCTTTACCAAAAAAAAAAAAAAGAGAGAGAGAGAGACAAAAAACTTGAGTAGCTATAGAAACCATAGTGTGGGTTACATCTGCTTCTAACCATATTAAATTGAAGCGCGGTAAGACTGGCAAAGCCCCACCTATAATACAGTTTAAAGAATACCAGAGCAAACTGTAAGCTACTAGGAAAGAAACATTATACATACTATTAAGCCTCTAAGTTCCCCTCCCTGTCACAGTTCCTTTTCCACCACAGATAACCATTATCATCAACTTGGTATCTCTCCCTGCTTTGCTTCTGTTTTGTTTTTGAGAGAGAGAGAGCGAGGACCTGTGCAAGAGAAAGGGGTGGGGGCAGAGGGAGAGGGAAAGAGAGAATCTCAATCTCATGACCCTGAGCTCATGACCTGAGTCAAAATCAAGAGTCCGATGCTTAACTGATGGAGCCACCCAGGTGCCCCGTTTTTTCAGATAATGTTATATAATGCTAAATAGTAGTGCTTTGCACATTTTTGCACTGTAGCAAAATATTCATAACATAAAATTTACCACCTTAAGCTTTTTTAAAGATGTATTTTGAAATAGAGCGAGAGCAAGAGAGAGAGCATGAGCAGGGGGCAGGGCAGAAGGAGAGGGAGAAGCAGACTCCTCACTAAGCAGGCAGCCTGACACGGGGCTCAATCCCAGGACCCCGGGATCATGACCCAAGCCGAAGGTGGACGCTTAACTGATTGAGCCACCCAGGCGCCCCTCATCTTAGCCAATTTTAAGTGTGTAGTTGTGTGGAGTTACGTATCTTCACATGTACAACCATCACCACCGCCCATCTCCAGAACTTTTTCATCCTCCCATACTGAAACTCTGACCCAATTAAACATTCCTTCCCGCTTCCTCCAGCCCCTGGTAACCACTATTCTACTTTGTCTCTGAATTTGAGTACTCTAGGTGTCTCATAAATGGAATCATGCAACATTCGTCCTGTGTTGGTTTCTTTCATTTAGCATAAAGTCCACCCACATTGTAGCACATGTCGGAATTTCGTTCCTTTTCAAGACATATTCCATCGTATGTCTACACATTTTGTTTATCCATTCATCTGGCGATGGACATCTGGGTTGGCTTCACCTTTTCGCTACTGCGAATAATGCTGCTATGAACACTGGTGTACACATTATCTTTTCAAACCCCTGCTTTCAATTCTTTTGGGTAATACCCACGAGAATTGCTAGATTATATGGTAATTCTATGCTTAATTTTTTTGAGGAACCGCTTCGCAAATTTTTAAATAAATGTAAGCAAACTATTTATATCTTTCTACTGCCTACTATTTTTAGTCATCCCCGTTGGAGCTCCCAGCCTCGGGTTAGCACCAGAAGCACACTCTCAAAACACATCAGCTACAATCCCAGCCCTCTCACCAAACCAGCTGCTCAGAAGAAGGGCAGGACCCAGCACAAGGCCCTGGACTAAGCTCAGTGGCCCTGGGCTTTTGCCATCCCACTGCAGAAAGGTGGCCTCTCACCGGTAATTGGCTGGAGCTCCACGAGGGCGGAGGACAGAGTGCTGCTGAGCACCTGGTACTGAGTCACAGCCATATGTGCGTTCCGGTTGCTCCGTGCTCTCACTATCTTCCCATCCTCCATGCGGTAGCCTGGGGACAGCGCCATCTAACGCCAAAGAAATCAAGATATGGTCACAAAGGAAGAGAAGAAAACCCAACCCCCTGGGGATGACAGCTCACCCACCTTGTAGTGCTGCTGCTGACCCTGCACCTCCTTCTCGATGATAGGGATATCCACGACTCCTGCTGGGGGTACCGGGACGTGCACAGTGATGGCCCTGGGCATGATACACAGACCCTGGCTTAGGCCATGAGGTGAGGGGGGAGCTCCTCGGATTTGTCTGCTTAGAGGCTATAACACTGGACCTTCTGCACTACTGTGGTCAGTTCTAAAGACTGGAGCGTCCCAAGTGATCTCTTGTCACAGCATTTAGCCTGAGAGCTCGATACTAGTATCTTTTTTACTACTAATGTATACTAATTACAGAATATTTGGGAAAACACAGAAAAACAAAAAAATTGTATTTATAACATGGTCTTTCCTTCCAGCCCTTAAAAATGAATATGTATAGTTTTTTTTTTTTAATTTTTTAAAAAAAGATTTATCTGAGAGAGAAAGAGAGAGTGAGAGCAGGTGGAGGGGCAGAGGGAGAGGGAAAGAGAAACCCAAGCTGACTCTGCGCTGAGTGTGGGTCTCAATCTCACAACCCTGAGATCACGACCTGAGGTGAAACCAAGAGCAGGACGTTTATTCAACTGTGCCACCCAGGCACCGCAAAAATGAGTATGTATAGTTTAAAATGAAATTAGGGTAATATGGCTTTATATCCTGTTTTTTATTTTTAAAGAATTTATTTATTCATCTGACACAGAGAAAGAGAGAAAGCACAAGCAGGGAGAGTGGCAGGCAGAGAGAGAGGGAGAAGCAGGCTCCCCGCTGAGCAGAGAGGCCGATGCGGGACTCGATCCCAGGACCTTGGGATCATGACCTGAGCCAAAGGCAGATGGTTAACTGACTGAGCCACCCAGGCGCCCTGTATCCTGTTTTTTAAAAGATGGTTAAATCCTGACTGCGTATGAAATGAATGAACAAGTAAATGAATGAATGGAATGAAAAATTCACAGGACCGCACCTGCCTGATTTGCCAGGTAGACAAATAGGGGGGAACTGTGCTCAAAGTCACAGAAACAACCACCACAACTCAATAAACATTCCAGATCACTTTTGTTGGAGGTCTCCTTTCATCATGTCTGAGACAGGTAGAAGACCCTTTAATCTGTCCTTACGCTTACGCCTCTTCTAGGTCAATCACAAAGGAGTCCTCCTGGGTGGCCTATCATAGAATCGCTGACCGAGGGGCCAAAAGCCCATTCATATTACAATTCACAGCCTGGACACCTCACTTCAGGTTGGTAGCTGTTTGGGCTGCTATCTGATATATTTTCTCATACTTAAATTGAGTTTTAACTGCTAGCTCACTCTTCCTAATGACATAACACTACTGCTCCATGAATAGAAACAGGCATTGATTTAAGTAGGTGCTAGTTCTGTACAAATGAACAAGACAAAAATTCCCACTCTAAAGGAATTCAAAGTGTAGTAAGAAGATTCAAACAAAGAACGATAACAAGTCGCTATTAAGTCAGCAAATGCTAATCAGTTGCCTCCTACGTTCTACCTTGAACTTCTCCTTCCCACACCTGGTATTTAAGGACATCATTAACGAGGTTCCAGTCTACCTTTCCAGCATTATCTGTCACCATTCCCCCCTCCAAACTAGACTGTGTGCTTTATTCCTTTGTGAATGCCATTCCCATGATCTATAACACAGTTCTCCATCTTGTCTATCAAATCCTATTCATTCAACACACAATTAATGGATTTCAGTTCCTCCATGAAGCCTGATACTGAGAATGGTTACCAAGTCTAAACTTTCATAAACAATTTTCACAAATAATATAACACTTTTTAAAAAAGATTTATTTAGGGGCACCTGGGCGGCTCAGTTGGTTAAGCAGCTACCTTTAGCTCAGGTCATGATCCCACAGTCCTGGGATCAAGCCCCCGCATCGGGCTCCCTGCTCAGTGGGAAGCCTGCTTCTCCCTCTCCCTCTGCCTGCTGCTCCCACTGCTGTCCCCCTGCATCAGGCTCCTTGCTCAGCAGGGAGTCTGCTTCTCCCTCTCCCTCTGTGCTCTCTCTCAAGTAAATAAATAAGATCTTAAAAAAAAAAAAAAGGAGTCTTTTTTAAATCTTTTTTTAAAAAAAGATTTAGTCTAGAGAGCATGAGAGAGAGAGAGAATGTGCACATGAGCAAGCAGGAGGAGGGGCAGAGGGAGAGAGAGAAAGAATCCTGGAGCTCAACGTGGGCCTTGATCTCATAACCACGAGATCATGACCTGAGGCAAAATCAAGAGTCAGCTGCTCAACTGACTGAGCCACCCAGGCGCCCCAACACTTTTTGATAGACTTATATTTGGATTACTAGGATACATAATAATAGTCTCAATTTTCAGTCTTTCAGCTCTTACTATGAGCTAGGTACCATGTTAAACAATTCATATGCATTGTCTCATTTAACTCTCTCCTCAACTCCATTATTCTCATTTTTCCTATGAAGACAAAGCTTAGAGAAGTTTAATAACGTGCCTAAGGACCTGCACTGGTAAACAGCACAGCTGACAGTTGAACACGGATCTTGCTGAGCTCTCAGTTACTATGCTAAACTTCTTCCATTACCTGTAATCTCTTATTACAGTGGTTCTTATATTTGATTCCACAGCAGAGTCATCTGTGGAGCTTTTAAGAAATATAGATGCCCACACCCCTCAGGCTTATGAATCAGGACCTCTGTGGGGGGGTCTCGGCACAGAAATTTTTTAAAGGCTCCCAAGATCACAAAGTAGCTGCAAAATCTGTAATACAAAAAGGACTAACATCAAAAAGATAAAAAGAGTACTTAAAAATCAAACAGAAAAATAAATAGCCCAACAGAAACCAGGCAAAAGAAATAAACAGTTTATTCACAGAAAGAGAAACTCAGGGGCGCCTGGGTGGCTCAGTCGTTAAGCATCTACCTTCGGCTCAGGTCATGATCTCAGGACTGGGATCGAGCCCCGCATCAGGCTCCCTGCTCCGCAGGGAGCCTGCTTCTCCCTCTCCCACTCCCCTGCTTGTGTTCCCTCCCTCGCTGTGTCTCTCTCTGTCAAATAAATAAATAAAATCTTTAAAAAAAAAAAAAAAAAGGAGAAACTCAAAAAACATGAAAGGGAAACAAAAAACATGAGAAGCCAATAAACATGCAAATAACATCACTAGTACACAGGGAAAAACATTTTTTTTTTTTGTCATCATAGTGGCAAACCCAAAAAATGCGTTGGTCAGCTATAAGGGGAGGCAGGTCTTCACTACTCTAGTGGGAGAAAACCTGGCCTACCTAATAGTAGTAACTATCCAAACATGAAATGTGTGAGGGGAGCCTGGGTGGCTCAGTTGGTTAAGTGTCTGACTCTCGATTTCAGCTCAGGTCATGATCTTGGGGTCCTGGGATGGAGCCCCATGTCAGGCTCCACACTCAGCTGGGATTCTGCTGGAGATTCTCTCTCCCTTTCCATCTCCCACTGCCCCTTCCCTGGCTCATGCTCGCACTCACTCACTCTTTCTCTCAAATAAATAAGTCTTAAAAACAAAACAAAATAAAAACCCACCATCACCACCAACAAAAAAACAAATATTAAACATGTGTTCCCTTCAACTTAGCAATACTATTTTTAGGAATCTGTCTTAAAGATATAATCACCTATTCTTTGCAATAGACTCTGAAAAATGGGAAGTTAACTAAATATCCCAATAAGGAAGTTATGATATACCATACAACAGAATACTATAAAGCTCTAAACGTACATGTAAAATGCTCTCCAAGATATATTGTCCAAGTGAAAAAAAGCAGGATGCAAAGCACTGCAAAATACATTGCCATATAATAATTCACTTATACATGCTTTGTATGACCCTGGAAATTTACACAAGACGGTAGAATAGTGATTGCCTCTGGGGAAGAAAACTGAGTAGATGGGGGACAGGAGTAGGTTTGTTTTGTTAGTGTATCTTTCTATTAAAAAAAATAAAGGTAAACCTATATGCACTAACATGAAAAGATCTCCAAGACAGTTAAGCGGTAAAAGAAAGTATAGTGTTGGAGCACCTGGGGGGCTCAGTCGGTTAAGCATCTGCCTTCAGTTCAGGTCATGATCCGGGGGTCCTGGGATGGAGCCCCACATTGGGCTCTCTGATCAGCAGGGAGCTTGCTTCTCCCTCTCCCTCTGCCTGCTGCTCCCACTGCTTGTGTTCTCTAATAAAATCCTTTTTAAAAAAGTACAGTGTACACGGTACAATGTAATACACACACACCCAGTATATATCAGACACGTTCATAAATACATTGAGTAAGGACCAGAGGAATAAAACCCAAACTATCCCAAGGGAAGGGACTAGAATGACAGAGTGAGTAGATTCTCCAAGAGTTTTTTGCTTTATCTTTGTTGTTTGACTATTTTACCACAGGAATGAAATCATGTACTACTTGTATAATTAGTTTTCAATAATTTTTATGTACAACCACATTTAGGAGCCACTATTCTATCAGATTCCAATATTCTAAGCACTTAAATCTGTTTCCTATATTTTTCATATGCTCACATGTCCTAGCACAGTGCCTTCTCCTAATAGGAGGTCCTTCCGTACAAATGGATGAATAGATAAAAGGATGCCTTCATTTATACCAATTCTACCACTAGCGATGGGCTTCATACCAGTACTTCTTTGCCACCTGACGGGTTCTAAACAACTCTTGGACTTGATGTGCCACTTCCTTCTCCCAGGCCAACACCATTACACCTGTAGTTTCCTTGTCCAGCCGGTGGCACAGATGCAAGGGCTCTGCCTTGTGGCCATGAAGCATCTTTGCCAGGATAGGCAATACATCACTGATGCAGAGCTGGACCCCAGGGCCACCTAAAAAGGGAAGAGCCAGAGGTTTTAGTGGCCAGTAAAAGATCCCACCAAAGAACCCTACCTGGGAAGAAAGTCAGTGTTTTCAAGAGCTTTATTACTGAAATGTGGTCCAGAAACTAGCAACAACAGTATGCTCAGGGAGCCTGCTGGAAAGGAATCTCAGGCTCCCAACCCAGATTATTAAATCAAAATCTGCATTTTAACAAGATGCCCAAGGGACTCACATGCCTATTAAAGTTTAAGAAGCACTGTTCTAGAGCACGTGGCTTTCTCCTCAGACATATATATACACTTATTAATCTACCTGAATACTCACAATAAAATCAGCAATCAAAAGGAGGTCTGGTATTTCACTATATAAACAAAGGCTTGAGAATTTGCCAAGTAAGCTCGAGTGATAAATACAAGACTGTGAGGCTCTCCTGAGGCATTACAGAAGAGCTAAGAAGATGGACTTTAGGTGAGATGCTCCTTAGTTCTATTCTAAGCCTAACTAGCCATTGGCCCTGAACAGATGATTTAATCTTTCCAACTTACAGTTTTCTCATCTATAAAATGTAAATATCTAGATAATAATTGTTTCATGGGGAATGGGAAGAAAAAGATCAAGAGAGAAAAGGAAAATACACAGAACACTTGGCAATGTCTGACTTAATTCCTTGTCTTTATGCTTTTCTCCATACCTCCCCAAAAAGCATTCTCCTAGCTCAACTATGCCTTTTCCCCCAGTAAATCCCCTTCCCAAATGCATTTTTTTCTATCAATCTTTCCTGTCTCACTTGAGCTGTCTTAGACAACTACATTTAACATTTACTCAGAAACATTTCAGTGTCCGTTAAGTTCTGGGCGTCCTGGGCTTTTGTTAGGTATACCCTGTGCGTGCGCACACATACACACACATATTTTCTTTTATTCTTTTTTAAGTTCATATCACAAATACATAATTTCTTATGTATTTTTTGGCATCCAAATTTTATAACACAAATATCTTCTATATTTTATAATTTCTAAGAACTCTTTAAAGGAAGTTATCTTCTATACAGGTTTATATGTGGGGTTTGTTTGTTCAAAGATTTTATCTGAGAGAGAGCATGAGCAGAGGGAGGGGCAGAGGCAGGGGGAGAAGCAGGCTCCCCACTGAGCAGGGAGTCTGACAACGGGGCTCGATCCTAGAACCCCGGGATTGTGACCTGAACTAAAGACAGATGCTTAACTGACTGAGCCACCCAGGCACCCCTAGGTTTATACATGTTTGTGCGTGTGTATGTGGATCCTGCGTATGTTTTCAGTAGTGGAGGCCTTTCTACAGGGCAGTTTAATTTTTGCTTTGGCTGGAACTCCATTTTTTTTTTTTTATCAGTTTTCATATTGGTTTCTGTGACTGGAGTTTCTGCATGTTTAGGTGGTCCTTATTTGATCCCTGCCCATGCATAGTATAAGATCTGATTTTTCTCAGGTTATTCTGTCTCAAGGCTTGAGATGGCTGATTTATGCTGCAGTTTTGGGCTTGTGGGTTGAGATTTTCTGACCTTTGTTCAATGAAGATGGACTATTTTCCTTGGTCTGGACTTAACTGATGAAATTGTACTCGATCATGTGAACAAAAATGTGCAATAAATCACCATGGTTAAAAAAAGAGACGTGAAGCAAATTCAGAGCCATTATATGGAAATACCATTACTTATAGAAGGTAATAAACTACCAGAACACATTATCCACAAGAGATTTATAGACCGAAAAATCAAGTATTTATGAAAATTAGTGACAGTGGGAAAATTGTGAATAAAGGCAAAAAATATAGTGGTGTCATTGTTGGAAGGGGAAATGGCTGGAACCTTAATATATTAAGTCCTATATATTTTTTTCTTATATGTCATTTTTTCTTTCCCAGGGTTTTTTTTTTTTTTTGAAGATTTTATTTATTTATTTGAGAGAGAGAGAGAGATCAGGGGCAGGGGGGAGGGGCAGAGGGAGAGGGAGAAGCAGACTCCCTGCTGAGCAGGGAGCCTGACACTGGGCTGGCAGATGCTTAACCCACTAAGCCACCCAGGCAGCCCTCTTCTTTCCCAGTTTTGATGTAAAATAATATGAAGACAAGAACCACAGAGCCTTAGTATTGCTCTATAAAAATTCCTGTGGAGGTCTGGATGCAGTGCATTCCATAAATCACTGCTGACTGCCAAATGTTTGCAATGCAGAGACTGTCTTTTATATCTGCGTCTTGGTAGTGCCTTATACAGGACTACAGTGCCTTATGTAGTACTCCATAAAAAATTATTTTGAATACAAGTCTTTGAAGAGCCCCACAAGTAATGTGTCAAAGTTATCCCTAATTGTAGTGAAAACAGAAGCAGCACCCCTCCCTCTCCAACGTGGTCCTTACCATGCACTGGGAGACCGTAAGGTTTATTGATGACCACGAGATCCTTGTCCTGGTGCACGATCCCTCGGCTCAGAGCCTTAGCAAGCACGTTGGGGTGGACTCGCTGCAGCTGCTGTGTGAACCGCACTAGTTCTTGCACTCTCCGCTGAACAGGGCTTGTGGGCACCTACGGGGAGAGGAGCAACAGGAAATGACTGGTGAAGACCTTCAGTAAGTCTGGGTGAGAATTTGGGTTGGGAATGACTATCTCTGCATTGGACTCGCGCCTTCCCCGAATAATTTGAGAGCGGCAGTGCATGTCTGTCTTACCTGTCTACACGCAGTGCTCAGGGTCGAGGCCGGCAGGAGCCAAAGACCCAGCCCGCAGGAAGATATGGTACCGTCCTGACCTCTTCCCCCTTTCTCCCCATTCTTCCTCAGGGTCTCCACATTTACTTAACATCCGTCAGAGGACCCTCCCACCTCACGCCCAGCCGGGGAATCGGTGAACGCACTGCCTCTTGGGAGTTGTGGTCCTTTCGGACTCACCGGCTGCTTCTTCGTCTTTTGTTCCTGTTTCTGGGCTCGGAGCTTCTCCGCTAATCGCTGGGCACTCATGGTCCCAGACGCAGCAGCGACCGAACAAAACGGCTTTGAGACGAGACTAAAGAGACTCCCCAAACGCTGCTTGGAACCCCGGACCCACAGGCCCAGCGCGTTACAGCTGGGTGCCGCCATCTTGTCAAAAAGGGAGGGGCGAGTCTAGACCACGTGCGGAAGAGGGGCTAGAGGGAGGAGGGAATGGGCAGGTCCTGAGGATCACGTGGGGGAGTGGGGGCGGGGTCTGGGCCGAATCACGTGGGGCGGTGCGCGCTGAGTGCGGCTGCGCCGGCCGGTAGCTGCAGCTGAAGCGGTGGCGTTTGGTGGAGACTCGGTGAGTGTGTTGGGAAGCCGGGCTGGGGCTAGGAAATGCCAGTTCTTCAACGCTTTAACGTTTTCGCGTCTCCCGGGTTTCTGTTCTCGGAGAGCACTGCACTGGGAAACGTTTCTCCCAGTGGGAGAAGACCCCACTCAAAAACACTTCCCCGCCCCCGCGCCCCGTGGAAGCGATGCCCCATAAACCCTCGCCCCAGAGCCTTCTTCGGCGCCTACCTCGTCCCTCTTGGCAACCACATCCCTGGTGTCCGGCCAGTCCCCTGAGGACGCGTCGTGTCACCTCTCATTTCCTTGCCGCTCGACCTTCGGAGATGCCCGGATCTCTGTAGGTTCTCCACTCCTCACCTCCTCTTTGTTTCAGGTTGTAACCTGTCCTTCTCTCCCAGGGGTAATGGGAAACCCTTTCGTTATCCAGGGTCCCCAGCCCGTATTCCTACCTAGGGAACACCTTGAGTTTCTTCTGTTCTTCCTCAGGAATTCATTTTTTGGAGTCTCCTCGCCCCCTGCGCTCTCCCTGCTCCTTCCAAAGACAAGACTGAAAATACAGTACAGAGCACGGACCTTCCCTTCCTTTCATGCTTCCTTCATTTTTCCCCCTCCCTACTTTGCAACCGCCCCAAACCCTCTCTCCTTCTCTTCCAAAGTGCAGTGTTGGAACTCCCGTGCCCAAACTACAAGCGACTCCCTCTGATTTCAGCGAGGGGTGGCTGGAAAGATGAACCTCTGGTTGGGGTGATAATGTGAAAAATACCTTGGGACATACCTGCCATTTGTTAAGAAACCTAATGGCGAGTTCCGAAGGGATGTTCAGAAAACTAATGGATCTGTACCGACATTAGAGGAAACGATTTTTTAAGACTGCTGAGATGAAGGCTCCTTGAGGTGTTCGAGTAGGTGGTAGTGGAATTAGGTTTGCGACTTACCCCTTTGAAAGGGATTGGCAGAAGGGAGCCATATTGGGCACGAAGTAAAGTTGAACAGGTGAGTGGAGCTAACCTGTAGAAGACTTCATAAGTCGAAGAAGAGTTTGAGCTAGATGTTAGAAGTAATGAGGAGTGTTTGAAGCTTCTTGAGCAGGAGAGAGACTCCTTGAATTCTAGAAATGAATCTGGCAGTTGAATGCAGGACAGATTGAAGAGAAGAGGGCTTTGATAGCAGGCAGATCAGCCGGGATGCTGCAGTCTAGGGGAACAGTAAAGAGGTTATGCTTTGGCTTTCCCCCTACACTGTGCTGTTCTTTGCGTTTGAATTGATTTTGAGTACAGGTCAGGATGTATCATGGGCAGCTGCTGTTGAAGTCTGAGTCCCTTGAGGACTCGCTCATGGTTTCTTTGTAATTCCCACATCAGGCACAGAGTAAACTCAGAAATACTCATTCCTTAGATGGCTGCAGTGCATCACAGACGTGTATTAGATGTGCCTGAACATTTGAATTGTCTTCTTTCTGTCAGTTTTTGACCTGAAGAATGGAGGTAGGAGTAAATGTATTTGTAAAGAGTGGGGAGGAAGGCTTGTGTATGTATCTGTAATAAGACAGGTGATCAGGATATAAATTCGAAGAATCCCGAGGGAGGTTGGGAAACAACTTCTCTCTCTCTCTCTCTCTTTTTTTTTCCTGCAAATTCGCAGGTAAGATGTAGATCTATAATAGTTGAGAATTGCTATCCTTTACTGATATGCTCCAGACCCAGGTTCTGATTTTATTACCTGCACTTAGGTACATGAAGCCTCCTTTTCCGAGGACTCTGAAATGTGAATATCAGGATTTAAATTTATATTCTTACATTAATTACAAACTTGTTTTAGGTATAGGACTTTTATGGTTTTGTGTAAGGGGTGTTTCTCCCTTAACCTGTGCTTAATGGCATTCAAGAAATGATACCTGTTCTTGCAGAATTGGCATTCTGTGGCAGGAAACAAATGAGGAACCAACTCAGATGTCAATGCTGGTGACAGAGAGCTTGTGTTCTCGGGTTTCAGATACCCCAAGGTACACACTATAGTGCCTAAGAATAAAAACACTGGTCAGTTTTTTCTAGAGAAGGAACTTTCAGGTTTTTCTTTTAAACTGAAAAATATTTGAAAAATTCAAAGATTTTGTTTGTTATCACAGTACAACTTTAGCCAATATGGGTACAGAAGTTATATTAATGTTTATGGTCTGTGGTTATTTAGAGTTGCTCTCTGCATATACAAGAATTTATGCAAATGTTATCTGTCTTTTGTTTTTTAATGCTATATTGCCTCTTTCCTCTTCCTCATTCAGTTGATTTTCTTTTAGGCAGTTCATTTTTCCACTTCTCCAGTGTCACATTCTCTTTTTGGTTGGGGACTCCTCTTGTCTGTACTGTTTTCTCAGTACAAGGAAGAAAATTCCATTAGTGATGTCTAGTGGTGTCTTCATTCTACAAACGTGACTTATTTACATAGATGAGAAGTACTTGACCACATCTGAAAAATCAAGGTAATATCACCGTATCCCTTGAGGACCAAGTGAAACACAAATACAAAATGGTTCACAATCTGATTCCTTTTAGAAAACCTTACAGGCAGCAAAACATGGCTTTAGTGTTGAAATTCCAGCCATTTACTACCTGGATTACGTGGAACAAATCACTGTCTTTATATGTAAAACTCGAGATGTAATAATATCTCTGTGAATTGTGAGAATTTAATAGGAAAAAAATTGTAAAACTTTTATACAGTTTAAGCTGTATTTTGTTCCAATTAGACTTATATGTTAAAAAGCTATAGTTTAAACCTTTGTCTGGGAGTAGGGTTAGGAAGAATTCATTTATTGACAAAACTTTACTGTCATTTCAAACCAGCAATTTTATTTACATAGCAAGAACATGTAGGTGTCCACTGGAAATGTCGGAGATCATCTCAACATATCAGAGCTTCACTCAGTTTGAGAGCCAATAAAGGAAGGTTTTCTGACTTTCCAAAAAAATAAAGAAGTACGTGATAATTCGTTTTTGAGTCTATTCCTGATCTGTGCAAGAACAAAATCACCTTTTTATTTCACAAATATAAACAAAGAGTGACTAATAAAGGAACTCGTGTTTAAATATCACAAATTTAAGATTAATTAGTGGCGTGGAGTTAGATTCTGGCTTCTCAAATAATGATTTGCAAGTTGCAGATTAATAACAGTTTAGTTCCCTGAAGAGCAGGAAGTACTTGGATGGTTTATGGTTTTAGATTTAAAGAAGCAATTAGCAGGAGCTCCTTGGAGGTGTCTTAGAAAGTGACCTTACTGGCAGCTGGGAAGTCTGGGGACTAGTCCCAGCTTAGCTGCTTGTGAACCTGAGCAAGTAACTTGGGCTCAGTTTTTTGTCTTTTAAAAGAAGATCCTTAACAGCTCCAACCTTCTATTCTTTGAAGATTTTCCATTGACACTTACATACTTTCTTAACAAGTGAAATTTATTTCAGACTTATCTTGCATACATTTAACATAAGCACAGAGAATCGGGATTCTGCCCTTGTTTCCAGAATTTAACCTTATGCCACTGAGCTAACATTTATATTTGGAAGTCACTTCATTGAATGCTGCTGGAATATACCTTAAGATTTCCCAAGTGGGGCATGAGAGGGAGTGCAGATAGAGAAAAAAATACTAGAAAGCAGTGGTTTTCTAAAACATTGTGGTATAACCCATAATATGGGTGTTAGTTCTTTTTTCCATGTCAGCATTTTAAAGAGATTGCATTGTACTACTAATGCTCCTCATTATACTTTTATTTGGCTTTTGAGTGATGCTCAAGACAGGTCTGGCCTAGACCAGTACTTCTCACATTTTTCCATGTCATGGTACATGTGGAAATAATTGTTGTTTCATGGAGGAAAACTGGAGGCTGCCCACAGAAGACAGCTGGCCTAGGAGCTGAGGCTGGGTCCAGTCCCCCCACCTGACCACACCATACCGAAGAGATCCCTAGCCTGTGGCCTGTTTGACCATTTAGGAAAGTCAGAATTACACAGTCAAGGTCTTTGACCAAACTCTTAACTATTGAGAGGAATTGTATTGTTAGTAGTATTTGTTAAATCTGCCTCTAATTTATTTCTCTCTTATGTGCCTTTATGCTCTTGGCTAGTTTATATTTGAAGATCATACTTACCCTTACAAAGTGACCTTTCTAAAAGTTTGTGAAAAGTAGTTAACTGGTGAAGAGATGGGAAATGCTTTTGTCACAGTGTTTTGATCTCCGTAGATTATGGGCAGTCTTGCTCTGCCTACTTAGAAAAGATAGAGAATCTCTTTAAATATGTTTTCCATTATAAAAGTAATACAGAAAATGTGTAGAGCGGAGAAAAAATCATTCATAGCTGTTTCCCAAATACTGTTAATATCATGTTTTTTCTAGTTTTTTTATCATGCATTTTTTTCTTAATTGTAAATTTCAAACATTTATAGAAGTAAAGAAAATAATGAACCCCATGTTTCCATCAGCCAGCTTCTACAACCAACCAACGCAGGGCCACCCTTGTTCTACACCCCACCCTGACCTCCCAGGTGATGTTGAACCATCTGTAAACACTTCAGTATGTGTCTGTAAAAGATAAGGACTGGTTTTTAACAAAACCACAATACCATTATCACACCTTCCTTAGTATCACTAAGCAAGCAGTCAGTGGACAAATTTTCCGATTGGTCTCTCTTTTTTTAATTAGTTAATTTGTTTGCATCAGGATTCGAGAAAAGTCCACACATCATGCGTGCTCTTTTAATTAGAAAAATAAAACTGTGGGCATTCAGAAGGGACGTGCAGCCTGTACCTTAAGGATGCTCAGAGCGCCCTGGCTTAGAGC